CCCCAGCAGACACTTTCAGAACCTATGGAACTCTGCAGTAGTTTCTATGTGGGGTTTTTTTGTGGGGGTTTTGTTGTTGTTTTTGTTTTTCATAAGAACATTCATAGGCAGGCCTGGCAAGTGCTTGCTGTGTCAAAGATCTCTCCAAAGTCTTTCTTGTATTTGTTAATTGCCTGAAAATTGCTATGGTATGCTCAATTCAGGGATTTTATTACAGGCCAAAGGTAAGTACAGTGTTATAAAGTAAACCAGGAAAAAATTCACCTCTTCTCCCATGATTTAATTTGTCCAGAGTTCTACATTGGCTTTTTCATGCAATGCATGGCTTGTCCAAAGTAGGAAATTATAGACGAATTTGAGAATTAAACTATCAGTATAGCATCACTGAGTTTTAGTTCATTTATATGACAACGAATCCATAATCAAATATTTTGTTCTCACTGCTTGCTGCTCTTTAAATGTTAGACTGGTATTATTGCTATCTATTAACCATGAGATCTTCCTGTGGTGGGAATCTTCCTTATCAGATCTAGGTAATCTTCCTATTGAAATATCTCCTGCTCAACAGACGGAGTGGGAATCTCCCTAGCTAGTGGCTAATAGATAAGTGCTGCTCATTAGAGGTTTCCCTTTCATATTTACTGCTTGCCATCTAGCCTTTGGGAAACTTGATTCTTGTAATCTCTTTAGTAATCAGTATGGACAAAGGTACTTCAAGGTATGCAGGAATTAAATAGAATAAGAGAACTGTGTTGGCTCTAGCATAAGCCAAGGGAACCTTTCCGAAATGATGATAAGTTTTAGTGCTATAGGTAGAAAACTACAGGTAGAAAAAAAAGTATAACTACACCTTCATAGTGTTTGCTAGGAGTCACGTTGTCCATCAACGTGTATGGAAATATATAGTAGTGGAGAATCTGACACTGTATTTCCATAGCAGATTGTGAATTTCCCCTGGAATTCCAAAACTTGAAGTGTCTTTAAACAAATAGAAGCAGCTCTTTTCAGTCTTACAAAGCCACGAGCATGTTCTGTGAGTACCAGTTTACTCTGATTCCAATGTCTCTGTAAAGTTATTCTGTTTTGTTACAAAAAACATCACCTGAAAGCAGCTGGATAGATGTTGAGTTATGATTACTATCACTGAGCCCTGCTATGTAGCACTGCTGGAAATTGTGTGCACTGATAGACCATAGTCAAACAGGCTATTATTGCTGTCACTCTGAGTCAGTCCAGACTTCCCCTCAACACCCAGCCTTCCTATCCTCCCCTGAACCCTTCTACCTTCAGACTTTGGTGATGTGACCTGTTATGCCTTTTCTTTGCTGCTTCCAAGTACTTAAATTAGTAAAATCATACAAGCTTCTGTTGCTTTGTGTGTAGATAAACTTTGCTATCAGTTGCATAGCTGGTTGTGACTGATTTATGCAAGTCCCAGTCTGAAGGGGTGCCAGGCAATCACAGTGCTGCTGTTTGCTCTCTGCCTTTTGCTCTATATAGCCATGTTCTGTGCCCTTCTGACATAGTCCTACCAGGAATTTTTTTTTAAAAAATATTGTTCTGATGCAAATTGGAAGAGGAATGGTACTAGAGCACTGCTGAAAAACTGGAAAACCTTTATGTTCACCTAGGGCCTGGGTTTCTGAGAGGAATTTACCACGACACTTCAGCCAACAGGAGTGTGCAAACACTGGGGCAACTTTATACATCCTTTTTTCAGGAAAACAGCTGGAGAAATCAATGGCTGTTTGTTGGACTGAAGCTGCCAGAATTTGATTTCAGCCTTCTCTGTGCCTGAGGTTGGATTTATTTTCATTTTTAAAATGAGTGATATTTTAAAAACCAAAGTAATTGAAAATCTTCACTATGTATTAAACTGCATCTGCTTAATAACTCTCACAGGAACTTAGCAGAGACATTCTTTGTTGAGATAGATATCCTGAGATTAAACTAGTTGCACACCAATATTGTTTAGAAGTTTGTGGGAGAATGTCATTCCACCAATTCCATGTACAAGTTTCACTATAAATGTAGGACAGACTTTAGATTCCCTCTGCAGCCAGTGGAGACAGGCATCTCCAGAGGGCCCTTTGTCCATTCCTAAAATAGATGAGTTGCTTTCTGAAAGTGGCTGACTCCCCCTGCTGACTACAGATCCTCTTTTCTGCTGTGTTAGTTTTCCTGTTGACCAAAAAAATGTTCTTGATTCTTTGTATAAAAAAACAAACCACAACAACCAATGCAGGTTAGAACAAGTCTAATCTGTGGGCAAATAAAAGTCCACAGACTTTGAAATTATATTAAATCAACATTTTAGCACTAACAGAAGCATTAATGTTGCATTTTCATGTTAATGTACATTCTTTATTCCCCCTAATATGAGCATTTAGGAGTGTTAACTCTATTGGACTGTTGACTACTGTCAAATCTAGGAAAACCGAAATGCCATCCTGGAAGGGAACCAAGCTGGATCTATGTCTGTTATTCCTTTGCCAATGCTGCACAGCCCAGTACTGATACTTCTGACGAAGGCCTACCAGCCTCCCAGGAGATGGATAAGGGATAATGGGCTCTTCCCTCATGGGCCTTACCTGATCTGTAGCAATTAAAGATTGGCTTGAATTCAGAAACATTAAATAATTTTTCTACTAAGCTGATATCCTAATTGTACTTGAAAATTCTGGAAATAATTACTTAATCTCTTTCTTAATATTGAATCATAGGTTTTAATAGTCTCCTGTGGCAACAGGTTCCACAGTTTGATTACATAGTGAGTGTAAAACTTATTTTGATTGCCTACCTTTTATGAAATGCCTCTTTTTTTTTGAGATGCACACAGATCAGGAGTTTTTTCATCTTCCTTACTTTGCCTGTTCCCTTCTGCATTGTTTCTAAAATAGGTGATTTTAATATTCTCTGTTTTTTAGGAAGTAAGGTATTTTTTTACCATTCCCCAAGCCTGTTCTAATTCCCCAAAATCCTTTCTGTAGATGCAGAAATCAGAGTGCATACAATATTCTAGACAAATTTATGCTAATGGTTTCTATAAGCACATTCTAACATTCTCTTATTCACAGTTTCAGTCTTTATGTATCTGCGTTTTTGGCTACAGCTGTGTACATAGTTACATCTTCACTTACCTAAGACCATGCTGATGTCTGTTTCTTGACAAAATATTGCCATGTAAACATATCTACAGCTAATTCAGAGTTCAGCATGATGTTCCCACCATGCTTATCAGCTTTGATTTTCCTTTCTGATCTGTGTGTCCTAGTGTGCTTGGATCTCTTTCTGTACTAATTTCAATTTTTATTGTGACGTGCATGCTGTGTTGATTCATAGTGGAACTGAGATTCTGCATTCCTAGGGAGAAATAATAACCCATGGTAATCTGTGTGGGAAAACTTTTAATTTAATTTGTAACTAAGCATATTAAGGACACCCCCCCCAACTCCCTATATATTATGTTATGTCTATTATTTAAATGAAATAATTAACACTAACAGCTATGGTTAAATGTGTGAGGAAAAAAAGCTTGTGAGAAATTTGGTAACTTCTAAACCAGTTCCTACTTCATCTGCTTGTTTCTTTAAAACAGATAAATGTCTTTACCAAAACAAATCCAAAATTACAGATGCCCAGGGTTGTAATGTACCACAAATCAGGCAAAAATTACTGTGGTTAATTTTCTTCTCTGAGAGTTCAATCTGAAATGAATATTCTGAGCATCACTATTTAAGCAGGGTGTGAGAGAAAGGTAAACAGCCAAGGGAGGCTCCTTCACACAAAAGGAAAGCCCCTTGCATTTAAAAGCAGCTCCATCTGTGCTGGCAAATTCTACAGACAAGGTGTGGGAGCTAGGGAGAGGAGGGGCAAAACGTAACAGAGAAAATTGGACAGAGAGACATTGAAATAAAAGGGCAAGCTGAAGATATAATTTAGAGAGACAAGAGAGAGAAGATTGAAATTATCTGTTTTCAGCAACTTAAAGAGAAGATTAAGGTGCCAGAGTGTATGAAAGGTAAAATAACCAATTTTGAGAGTGAGAAAGGCTGAGCAGGAGTTATAATTTCTAGAGGTTAGGGACTGGGAAGTTAGGTCAAACGTAAGCTTCATGAGTATGCGACTTCTGATAATGGAATCGTCACATAAGACAGCAGAAAATCAGTGTAGGGGATGTTTAAGGCAATCCATTGCTGGATATAGCTCTGATGTCCAAAAAAAGATGCACAGAACAAGATAAAAGTCCTCTTTGTTTATCCTTGCTTCGCAGTGACGGCTCTCCTCACAATGCTTTTTGCCGCCTTTCCTGATCATACAGGTTGTTTAAACTGGAACTGGCTAATTAGACTCTCTTATTAAAATAAATAGTTCTAGTTCTGACAGTGGAAAAGTTGTGGTTTACATAAAGCCAAACCACACAAACTGTGTATCTATGTAAGCTGTGATCATTGCTATGCATGGCTGCTGTGCCGAGGGCCAAATCAGCACAGTGATCACAGTATTTCTTCTGTGTTCAAAATCACTCTCTAATACTGTTTAATGTCACAGAAGCAGGTTTAGAACAGTTGGATTAAATTTAACTATATTTCAATATCCCCTTCTCCTTTCTTCGTCACCTGTCTTTCTGTCCTCTCTGTCCCTGTTTTCCCTGTGTCTCCCAGAACAGCTAGTCACAGTCACACAGATATTTTAAGATTTGTGTAGTTGTAACTTTGAAATAGATACTCATCTATTGTGAACAGCCACAAATGCATTGAAGGTATGCTGGATTAATAAAAATTGTTCTCTGTCCTGTCTTCCCATATCTGAAAGCACAAGAACTCATAATCTAGATCCACTCCATAACTGTAGATATATAAACTAGGAATTTTTTTTAGTAAGCAAAAAAAGCAGAGTGAGAAGCAGGATCAAAATACTATGGAAAGACAGATTTTGATAGTCATATTTCTTAAGATCAGTATGCAGCCTAAATAGACTTTAAAAACTTGGGATCTTACCTTTTTTGTCTTTGTTCAGAAAACAAAGCGTCAGACTGCATTTTGATGTCACGTTTATCACTACCACTTTGCAAATGATGACAAGGTAGAAGACTGAAAGAAGTAGAGTCTGAGATGATAAATCCTCTTGATGCTGTGTTATTGTGCTTTATTCTTGCACAGGTGAAGATTGACCTTCTTCTGTGGGGTTAAGAAAAACAGATGGAAAAAGATGTTTTAGAAATGTCCATGGTGGCACCAAGAAATACTTGCTAAAGACTTTTCCTTGGATAAATCAGTTATCAACTAAGGGACCTACTTGTGTTGTTTACTAGTTATAATTTAGTAAATATTTAACTTAAGAGATTTGGGGTTGTGTGATTTATAAGTGGGTGTAGCCCTTACATTGGCATTTATTGTGGCCCTTTGTTCTGGACGTAGCCTAACTAAATTAGCAGGTGAGGTAAAGATTGTGGTGATTTACTGTAATTTCTGGACAGACAAAAATGCTAGACAGGTGCTAAAGGCTGCTTTCAACAAAAATTATGAGCTTTCATATGATGAAGTATTTTTAAAAAAGTGTGACAGTCTTCAGGAAAATTCACAGCAAATGCATTCTAAAATTGAACTTCTGTGATCAGGAATGCTGAATTTTCTTAGAGGTACTATGAGAGTACTATATTGGATATGGAATTAATACATGGTTTGTTTCATGCAAAATTGCTTTGAAAGCAATAATTTCATGGCACCTGTTTGATTTTCCTGTGTCAAGCTTCATGACACCTCAATCTAGTGGTGTGTGAAGAATGAAAGGAAACATGGCTCCATATTTGACAGGATGCCATACTTGCTCTCTGAGCCATATCTGAGACTGCAGGATTCAGCATACACGATGCACAGAATGTCTGCATCAAATCTGCAAAGGACTTGGCCAGAAAAATATCCAGTCTCAAATATTCAAGTTGGCTGGAGCACCTCTCCTGTGAGGACAGGGTGAGAGAGTTGGGATTGTTCAGCCTGGAAAAAAGAAGGCTCTGGGGAGATCTAATTGCGGCTTACCAGTACCTGAAGGGGGCCTACAGGAAAGATGGAGAGGGACTGTTTATGAGGGAGTGTAGTGACAGGACAAGGGGTAAAGGGTTTAAGCTGAAGGAGGGTCGATTTAGATTAGATGTTAGAAAGAAATTCTTTACTGTGAGGGTGGTGAGGCACTGGAACAGGTTGCCCAGAGAGGTTGCGGATGCCCCGTCCCTGGAAGTGTTTAAGGCCAGGTTGGATGAGGCTTTGGGCAACGTGGTCTAGTGGAGGGTGTCCCTGCCCGCAGTAGGAGGGTTGGAACTAGATGATCTTTGAGGTCCCTTCCAACCCAAACCATTTTATGATTCTATACTAGACAAATTGAAAAATCTGCAAAAGCTGCTTTTCTAAACAGATATGTCAGGAGCAAAGAGTTAAGGAAGCAGGGAGATTGGGACCAGGTCAGAAATGTGAGGGGTTGTTATGGCTTACAGTGGAAGTTTCAGAGGTTGGGGAATCTGGCATGTAAATCTCTGAACTAACACAGAAAGACATGGTCTTTTTAGTTCTTTCCATTTTGGCGATGTGGGATCTCTTTGAGAAGTGGAAATATACAAAGACCATCTGGGATATTGTCTGTGTTTTAAAATATAGAATCATTTAGGTTGGAAAAGACCTTTAAGATCATCACCTCTTAACTGTTAACCTAGCACTACCAAGTCCACCACTAAACCATGTCCCTAAGCACCACATTTATACATCTTTTAAATACTTCCAGGGATGGTGACTCAACCACTTCCCTGGGCAGCCTGTTCCAATGTTTGACAGCCCTTTCAGTGAAGAAATTTTTCCTAATATCTAATAATAATGTCCCATGGTGCACCTTGAGGCCACTTCCTCTTATCCTATTGCTTGTTACTTGGGAGAAGAGAAACTACACCCAGCTGGCTACAGCCTCCATCAGGTAGTTGTAGAGAGCAACAAGATCTCCCCTCAGCCTCCTTTTCTCCAGTCCAGGGGAACTCCACTTTGTGACCGGCAGCCAACTGGCTTTAACTCCATTCACCACAAATTTTGGGCTCGGCCTTCCAGCCAGTTTTTTACCCAGCGAAGCATGCATCTGTCCAAGCCATGAGCAGCCACTTTCTTCAGGAGAATGCTGTGGGAAATGGTGTTAAAGGCTTTACTAAAGTCCAGGCAGACAACATCCGTGACCAAAGGTAAAGGTAAGTTGGCACAGGCATTGGTTAATACAGAAGCATCAGCTGTGTAGCAGTCTGGGTCCAAGTCTATGTGCTGGCTGCTACAAGCTTTTTTATGCAAGCAGCATATGCCATTTCCCAGAGGTGACTCCTGCTGCGCAAGATTACAGGCTATAAATAAGGTCTGGTGTTTGCTGATGGGGAGATCTGTTGACTTATGAGACTCACTAGTCCTGGAGTTTTGGTCTCCCACCAGCAGAGCTGAAGGCTGGTGAACTGTCTCATGGTACCACCTCCTAGCCTGCCTTCTTAACTCACGGTCCCATCTTTTGGGTAGGTAAATGTAAATGAACTAGAAAACATAATTTTGTAGGTGTCCTTTCTACGCTTGGCCAGGTAAAACTAAAAATCCTATGCTTCTTGTGTATATATTGCCCTAGTTATTTGTCTTCAGGAAAAGATAAGAAAAATATGTTAAATACTAGTGAGGAAATAATTTTAAAGGAGATTAAAAAAAAATCTTTACGCTGGCTTGAATATCAACTCCTTATGCAAAATTTGCATCTTTAGATTGCATAAGAACCCAAATGTTGTAATTTAAAAAATATTTCCTTTAAAATGAATTCTGTGCGTTTAAATCTTTCCAGAATGTCTGTCGCGTATCTGGCTGTAGTGTGGATTAGGTTTTGATAAAACAGCTTCGAGGTATCTCACTTACACGGTCTGGTGCTACGAAGTCTCCCCCTTACGGGCTCTCTCTGGTATTGCAGGGGCTTGCACAGATTCTCCGCAGCATTTAGACAGGGCGTGTGGGAAGGGGTGGGTTCAGGGCTGTGCCGAGCTCGGTGCCGTGGTGCCGCAGCGCTGGGCACCTTGTCCCGGTCTGCGGGTACCTGCGGAAGGCTTGCGGGGAGCCAGCGAGCAGAGCTGCGAGTGCTGTTTCTGTATCAGATAAGAAAAACAGAGGCAATCCCAAATGATGCTCATTTTCTTGGCACCTCAGAAAAGCGACTACCAGCAGGAACAGAGCACTGAATTTCAAGCTTGATTATTAACTGTTTAATGCCTCAGGACAGAATTATTTTTAGAGCAATGTGAGAGACCTAATTCATTAAAAGGTTTGTGCTTCTTACTTGGACAGAAACAATGTAACTTATTTTTAAATATTTCTTTTTGGTATTTTTTTAGCGTTCTCTAAAAACATACACATGGGATTATTTTTTGCTATAGGCCTGTCACACTTTAAAAAAGGGGGTCAGAAGTGTAATTATGGTGCTAAAATTAGATAATTTATATGTATCCCCTATATCTATTCAATAAAGACTTACTGTGTGCTATGTTCAGGCATTACTCACGAAGGCTTAGTTCTAGACTACAATGACTGTTTTGGTCAAATTTGAGTAAACCAATACCTGAACAGTAACGTGAAAAGCAGGATGGGAATGTAATGAACATACACAAATATTCAGAAAAGACTGGACAAAATAGAGAGGTACCTACCAGACTGTGACTGGTAAGAAAATCTCCATAACATAAAAGTGTTCTTGTTTATTCATGAAAGCATTGTTTGGGTCTATGTGATGCAGAAGACAGGAACGTGCAGTTAGTGGACATTCAAAAATATGCATGTTAGTTTTGGACATTCAAAAATATGCATAGATGTAAGTTAAGGACCACAGACCATGTTGATTTTACTTTATATTGAGACTTTAGTCTTCATATAGTAGTGTCTGTAGTGTGAAATTATCTTATTATTGGTTGTACTACAGGAAATTTGCTTGTCTGAAGAGATAATTTTGTTCTGAGAACTGCCACACAGTATTATAGATGTGATGATACTTTCTTGATTACTTTCTTTTGATTCTTGCTGCTATTGAATTTTAACTCCAAACAGCTTTAAAGCAAAAGAACGCCTTTTCATCCTCTGTTAAGATGTCATCTTTTTTTACTGTTGCTCAGTTTAACCAGAACAGAGAAGCAGTAGCATGGTGGGTTGGCAACTGAACAGCTCAGGGCAGCTGATGAATTTATGGTTCAGGGTTTTTTTTTTGTTCAACTGGTTAGATATTGCTTTTGAAGTTTTGTTACTATATTTAATTTCTATCTGAATAAAAATAAATTTATTTCTATTTAGGCCTGTCAAAATACCTTTGGTTAATTTTTTGTGATAAAGCCTAGATACAGAAAAGCTGAGAGTGTCAAAGGTTTTAAGCCTGGAAAAATCCTGATCTTTTTTCTGTCATTTGAATGTCACGGGAGAAAGATCCAAGACACTAGAGAAGACACTCCTCTTGGTGCTTAGCTCTGTGGCTCATGCTGCATAGCTGCTCTCATTTGCTTAAAATGTAAAAGCAAATTTTACTCTTGGAGGGAGTAAAATTGCTTTAAATTGCCTCATTCCATTATGTCTAATTTAAAAAATTGCCTGCCCATCTGTTTGTCTTTCGCATAGCATCACCTTACTTTGGAACGTGCATCCTGATTTTACTTTTCAGGGGTCCATCTCTGGGCATAGCACAGAATATATTTTATTCCTCTGTATATTCTGCTGTTAGGGTTTCATGCAGGAGAATTTATAGTGTGTCTAGATTGGTGGTTTAGTTCAGATCAGGAATGTGCTTTTGAAGCCAATCTGCTTGTCCCTGCACACATGGAGTAGTCTTGGGGTGCTTTATTGAATCTCTTTCAGATGAAACTGAAGAGGACGAAGTGTTCCAAAAGCACATTCAATGCTCACCAACTGCATTCAGCCTCTAATGGGACCCGATTAGTTCTTGTCTGAGGTAAACCCCCATGAAATATGCATTGTGAGGAAATATGCATTGTCATCAGCACCAACTGTTTCATTCCACAGCTGTTTCTAGTGAACCCCA